AAAATTAAAAAATGGAATTTTACTATGAAAAATCACTATAAAATCTTGTTTATAGAATTAAAAGAAATGTAAATCTTAAAATTTAAGAAAAGAAATTAAAACTAAAACACTATAAAATCTTTTTCTTAGGTATTTTGCTTTGTCACCGTGCAAGCGTCATTTTACCATATTATCGGTACAAATCAAACTATTCACTTCGGGTAATGCCTCGTTTCGAAGAAGATGAGGAAAAACAGGAGGAAGAAGTGCGCAGCAAGTACATGTTCCGGCCACGTCTTTCGGCTGTTGCTGAAAATGACCGTTTCGATGTACCGTTTCAGAACGAATACGAACAATGTTGCCGTGAGGACTACGATTGGGATTCGGAGCTTCAAACCATCAAAACAGTTTGGTGAGTAATTTTTTGCCTTCCAAATCGCAGTAAATAGGAAGGAATTTCTTTTTTTAGTGAACTATAAAGCTTGAAATAACCGTAAATTTGTGAAATTTATCATTATAATATGAATAAAATAATGAAATTTATCATTATACTATGAATAAGATAATCGTGAATTTGTGAAGTATGCGTCTTCGCCACCGTTTGCTCGGTTTTTCTGAGTTAAAAAAAAATAGTTTTTTTTATTTAGCGTATTAGAAATCTGGCTCTCCCCACTTTTTTTTCGTTTTTCATGCCTGTAAAATCAGCGAGTTTTTTGTTCGACCATTAATTTTTCAACAGTGAATTTTTGAAGGGAAAGACTGAAACCGCCACCACAGGAAAAGGTGGAAGAGAAAGTGCTGACAATTGGGAATTCGCGATCGCTTCCGTGGGCTCCGGTAACTTTTCTGTTATCAGATATGCTTCCGAGAAATTTGTTGGATCAATAAAATTGAAATCCCGAATCCTTCATTGTAAAGAATCTAATATTTGAAGTTTACCAGATGAATTTTTTAAAATCTTGAAAATGTACCTCTTTTAAGATGCCGTTTAACGTAAATTTTGTGATTTGTCGATTTTGCAGATGCTTTTTTTTTGTTGAATTTAGCTTTTCCCAACAGGCATTAATAATTTACTCAGTAAAATTCATAGATTTGAATTTTCTCAATGTATTACTACACTTATTGGGGCTTGATAATTTTTTCTTTTTTTGATAGTAAGACCAATTTTTGAAGTTTAATGAATATAATTTGCTGTTTTTGTTTTAGAACGAATGGTGTATCGAGCGGGCATTTGATTGTTATCGTAACAGACGTGACGTGGCACGCATTCATGTAAAATTTTTATATTTCTCTTTGGAATTCAAAATTGAACCCTTTCGCTTTCATTATTTGGGAAAGGTGGGGATAAACCTAGCTCAGATGATAGCAAATGCCAACAGCAGCAGCTAGCCGCTAACAAAATTGTCGATGGCTCCCTCTTTCGACGATGGATTTAGCGTCGTGCCATGCGAAACTACTAATTTTCCTCACTAGCGGAGCCTAACTTCGACCCTTAACGAGAGAGTGTTTTCACTGCATCATCCTTGGCCGGTGTGTTATATTTTATTTAGGACGTAGCAGCCTCAAACACGCGTTTTTATACTGTTCACTTGCGTTGTAGCAGTCTCAAACACCCACTTATATACTGTTTGCTTGTGTTAGATCCATGCGTGGCCTTTAACTGCAGCAACAGAAGACAGTGAAAAGTGCCAGCACTTTATTCTTCAACAAAGCCTCATTTCAACCCAGGCTGGAACGTACCAGGCGGGCCGGTGCGATTATGCGTTTTTGCACTTCTCGTGCCGTAGC